GGCCCGCTCCCCTGTAACCCTGCCCCTAAAAGGACGCTCCTTTGGCTCGCGCCCTTTGTAAACCGGAGTCAGGGCGGTACATTCGAGCCCGATCTAGCCGCTACCGCGCAGTTCCCGAATAGTTTCGGCCTGTGCGCCCTCCCGCCAGCCCCCCGGGGATCTAGCTAGTGGTTCCGGGATCTCCGTGCCCCGGCGCTGCGTTCTCCACGCGGAGCTCGCGGGGTGGCACATTACAAGTCGCAGATTTTAAGACGCAGACGGAACAAAGAGCAAACCGCTGCGGGCCGGCCCGAAATATTCTGAAAACGGTTTCGCCGCGCTGCCTGGACCGCTGGCCCGTTCCGTGAGCCGCAGCCCCCGGTAACCAGGGCCCCACACGGGCGGGGACGGGCCACCGCGCCCGGTCAGATCCGGAGTAAACGGAGTTCGACGCAAGGTAAACCCAGAGCCCGTGCCGCTCCGGCGCATCCTGTCCCGGCGATTCCCTGGATCCCGGGGGCGCAGCTCCTTGCCCGGAGCGGTTCGGAGCGCGGCGTGGGCACAGCGAGGGCGGGTATCTGAGACCAGCCCGTGGTCGCCACGGTCTCCGGGCTCCTGTGAATGCTCCGAGGGGACGCGCCTGGGAATGGACGCTGGGCCGGGTCTGCCTCGCTGCCCCTTCCCCCCTTTCCACGGCACTGCCTGGCGGCCGGGCCGGTATCTCCTGCCCCAGAAGCGCTGGGCTGGCGCGGTGCAGCCGGACTGCAGCGCCTGTCTGAGCGCAGCGCTGGGCCGCCGGCTCCCCCAGCTCGGAGGTTTGGGGGGCTGCTCCCGACACCGGACCCCCGCATCCCTCCGGCCTGGTCGGCTGCACCAGGCGGCCAGAGAGCTGGACTCATCTACTAGCGTTCTTTGAGGGGCGCAACAAACCCGTGACAAGGAGGACCCGGTGGGCAAAGTGCATTTTGAGGTCCAGAAAGCCTTTGACAAGGTCCCTCACCAAAGGCTCTTAAGCAAAGTAAATTGTCATAGGATAAGAGGGAAGCTCCTTTCGTGGATTGATACTGGTTCAAAGGCAGGACACATGCGTACGAATAAATGGTCATTTTTTCAGAACAAAGAGGTAACTAGTGGGGCTCCCCAAGTGTCCGACCTGGGACCCGTCCTATTCAATGTATTTATAAATGATCTGAAGAAAAGGATAAACAGTGAGGAGTCAAAATCTGCAGATACCAAACTGCTGAAGATAGTTAAGACCAAAACAGACTGAAGAGCTTCAAAAAGATCTCACCAAACTAAGTGGCTGGCAACAAAATGGCAAATGAAATTTACTGTTGATAATTGGAAAGTAACGCACATCGGAAAAAATCATCCCACCAATACAGACAATATGATGGGGATTAATTTAGCTACAACTACTCAAGAGGGAGATCTTGGAGTCACTGTGGAGAGTTCTCTGAAAACATCCACTCAGTGTGCAGCTGGGGTAAAAAAAAAGCAAACAATGTTTGGAATCATTAAAAAGGGATAGAGAATAAGACAAAAAATATCTTATTGCCCCCATATAAATCCATGGTACGCCCACATCTTGAATACTGCATATAGATGTGGTCTCCTCGTCTCAAAAAAGATATATTGGCATTAGGGGGTTTGGAACAGGTCCCTTATGAAGAGAGATTAAAAAGACTTGGACTTTTCAGCTTAGAAAAGAGGAGGCTAAGAGGGGATAGGATAGAAGTTGATAAAATCAGGACTGGTGTGGAAAAAGTGAATAAGGAAAAGTTATGTATTTATTCCTACAATAGAAGAACTAGGGGTCACCAAATGAAATTAATAGGTTTAAAACAAACAAAAGGAAGTTTTTCTTCAGTAACCCACAGTCAGCCTGTGGAACTCCTTGCCAGAGGATGTTGCGAAGACCAGGACTTAAACAGGGCTCAATTAAGAGCTAGATCAATTCATGGAGGTTAGGTCCATCAATACTTATTAGCCAGGATGGGTAGGGATGGTGTTGTGATGGCGTGTTGGGGTCCCCCACCTCCTGCACCCCCGTAGTGGCACAAACAGACTCCACCAGCCAGTAGAATAGAGGGAGTTTATTGCTCCTCCAGGATACAGCACAGATGTAATCCGGTTACAGGAACTGGGGCTAGGATGCCTCAGCCCCCCCTTGAGATGGGGGAGACTGGGCCCCTAAATTCCAGCCCCTTTCCCTAGGCTGTCTCCTCCATGATCCCAGACCGAAACTAACTAACCCTCTTCCAGCCCTGCCCCCCAGCCAGGGGCGGCATTCCACCTTCCTTTGTTTCTCTCCCTGGGGGGTAGCTGGTCGGACAGGTTGAGAGCCCCTTGCCTAGTGACTCATC